CTTGCCTCTGAGCCCCTCCCACCAGCTGTGAAGATGCCAGGGTGTGGGGTCTCAACCAAGGCTAGAGCAAAGGATGATGGTGCATGCTGGCCATCCCAGCACTCAGGAGGCGGAGGCAGGTGGGCACAGTAAATTCGAGTCCAGCCTAGGCTACACAGAGAGACCCCATCTCAGAAAACAAACAGTAACAGAAAAGTACAAGGCCACGGCTGAGGGCTGAGCCAAGTGGGTTCCTGGCTCTCACTCAGCGCCAAGAAGAGTCTGCCGCACAGTCATGACAGGGCCTCTGCTGGCAGAGACGTCTGGAGGCAGAGGTGCTCCCGACAGTTCCACCTCCCCCAACAGCTCACAAAGACTTCATGCTCAGCATTGAGTGGTACATAAGGAAGGTGGGGGGTGGGGGACCTACAGCCAGAGCTCCTCCCCATTCCACTTGCCCATGGCATAAGCAGGCCGGGGTCCAGCTCCTATCCTGAAGCTTCACTTCCAGCAGCTACTGGAGCCCAGAAAGTTATCTATGCCTTCCGACCCATGCCCAGCACACACCGGCTGTAAACACGCACTACTGTGAGAACAAGCAGGGCTTACGGTTCAATCAGGTAGTTCCACAGGAGTCCTGATATCCACCCTCCATCTCCTCCTGATATCTGGCCCATGGGGCTGTGTGAGCTGAGCCAATCCACTCCCTTAGTGAACTCATCTCTGGGGTGCAGGCAACCCATCATTGCCTCATGTGGGATGCTCAGTAAGCAGGGGCTTCCAGCTGGGCACAGGGAACACCTGAGGGGTATCCTAGCTATGAGGAGGCTGAGGCAGAAAGATCTCTGAAGGACAGCCCAGACAACAGAGTGAGACTCCATCTAGAAGAAAGAGGAAAGGACAAAGTTTTCTCTGAAGACTTAGGCTGCTCCTCTGTTGCCCCTTGGGCAAGGCCAAGGAGGGGAGGGGGAAGGGACAGCCCACAGAGAAAGAGGTCACTGCTCCACTCTGACAGAGCCAGGCACATAATGGTCTGCTGCTGAGAAACCAAGCGCAGAACCAAGAACACCACAATGCCACTCTGCTATAACCACACGACACCCACAACACCCAGCCTGTTAAGCAGGTCCTGAGGAAGCCGGGTCAGAGGGTGCCAGAACACAAAAGGGACCCAGATGTGACCACAGGGTTGGGCCTGGGGCCCCATTGCAGACAGAAAGGCAGGGTAGGCAGGTGATGCATAACTCAGACCTTTCTGGCAGCACTGAGAATATACACATTTTTTAACGACCTGAGAGAATCTGGTTAGTTCGCAGTTTTTTATCACTTGAGGTGTATTATTTTTGTAACTAAAAAAAAAATCTTCTGATCCAGGTGTAGTGGTGCACACCTGCAAAACCAGCACTAAGGAGGGTGAGGCTGGAGGGTTATCACTTGCTCCAGGCTAGTCTGGACTACATAGTGAGTTCAAGGTCAGCCTGAACTACATAATGAGACCCTGTCTCAAAAAACTGCAATAAGTAAGTAAATAAATAAATGTGAGTCTCTTGGCAGTTTCTCATGAGTAAACATGCATGCAGTTCCACTCCCGGACAAATGAAACCATGTCTGAAAACAGACTCCTGCATGGAGGCGAGCAGCAGTTGGACACTGCCCTGCAGTGACCACAGTGCCCCTCACCCACAGGGCGACCCCAAGACCTGCACCCTGCAACACATAGGACAGAGTCACATGGACTTTCCCCTCCACACGCAGCCTGTAATGCTGGCAAATCAGGGCCCTAGAAGGTTAACAACATCGCTGGTAATAAACTAAAAGAGTTATAACAATACATATAATAAAATCACACGGTGAAGTCCTTCTTGCCATCTTCCTCTTAACATTCTGGCTGCGGTTCACTGCAGTGGTGAGACCTGGGGGAGCAGGGATAGGGACAAGGAGGGGACCCCAGAGACCTCCACACTTTATTTTACTTACCTGTGTGTATGCCTGGAATGAAGCCTGGGGCCAGGCTGCTTGACTACTGTGTCATCCTAGCCCCCAGTATTTTTTCACAGGCAGGGAGGTACAGGGGCTCAGCCTGAAGTCCCGGCGCTCTAGGGTAGGGGCTGGGGCAGGAAGATTACTGGAGTGGGGGCGCTCAGGTCCAGGCTGGGTGCCACAGACAAGACTCCAGCTCAAAGTGGGGAAAAAACTAACACAGAACTTTTAAGATACAGATTCCCAGGCTCTGGTCCTGCCTCTGTTGATTTAAAAAGTCCCAGATAATTTTTCTTGGAGACCGGGTATGGCTATGGTTCCCTGGATGGCCCTCCTAACTCCTGGGAACTGGTGATCTCCCCACTTCAGCCTTCGCAGTACGGGGATCACGGAAGCCAGGCACAAGTGGGCCACCGTGCCCCGTCCAGATGAGTCTAATGCCTGGCCACACTGCTCCCCCGCCCAACCCCTTTACTGCTTGCAGGGCTTGGTTTTAGAACAGAAAAATGACTCCTCACTGTCTGTCTCCCCGCTCTAGCTTCCAGATGCAGCCTGAGACCAGGTGGGGCGGGAGGTGACCTCACAGCCCTGTCAGTAACTCACTCTGAAGGCCAGGTCGGGCTCTAGTGAGGCCGCAGCAGGGACTTAATGGCCTGTGTACCTGTTAAACTGCATGTCCGGGCCGCACCCCATGTTTACAGAAAGCGCTTAGGGCAGGACTCACTGGCACAGAACACACTCTGTGCCTGCCCACCAGCCACCCTGGATCCCCTGGAGCCCAGCCCAGACCTTCGCTCTGCTGGGGGCTCTCCTGGACTCCCCCAGGATCCACGCTTCTATAGCTTCTAGCTTGCATTCCCCAAACCCTGCGGGGTCCTATTTCTATCTCTGCTGCCCTCCAAATAAACCCAAGCCACTTACCCAGCTCCCACAACCCCAACATTCAGCTCTTGTCAAATCCTGCCCTGGTTCTTGTTCCTCTCCAGCAGGGACCCAGGGGACATGTCCTACAAACATGCTCGGACACTCTGTGACACAGCGCCTTGGCACCTATTGTGCCCCCGCGGGGCACACTGGTCATCCTGGGCCTGACCACACAAGACAGCAGGTCTGGCACAGCCTGCCCTCAGAAGCCAAGCTCCCTAACAGCAACACGCCAGGTCAAGCCTCCCTGTCAGCACAGTTCCTCTCCCACAGCCCTCACCCCGGCCACAGTCTCCTGGAAAGTCGAGCTTCTATTCCAAATCAAACGGCACACAGCTGCCTCAGCAGAGTTTCGATTACCAGCTAAGTGAGGAGCTGCAGAAAGAAGAGCGCCCTGGGTGCCTGTAGACCCTGCCTCCCACAGAACCCACAGATCTGAGCGCTGGCTAGACAACTCCATGAACTGGGTACATGCACATCAATTCCAAGCAAATGCCCTCAGAACACCCACTCTGTTGCACCCTCTGGCAGAGTGGGTTCCCAGAGCTGCCATAAAGGATGCCCCTGCTCCCACCCAGGCCTTAGGGGCAGCACTGAAGCAATCCAGAGTCCCCACAGCTGACTTCCACCCTCCTACATTAGAATGCACTGGGTAACCGTAGGTGCCATATCACTGGGACCTCTGGAGAGACCGTAAAAGACTAATTTCTGGGACAAAGTCTGGACACAGCGGATTAAACAGTCCTCTTTAGGCTCTGATTCAAACCAATGTGCCTTTGAAAATCAGTGACCAAACCTACCCAGTTCAAACTCACTGCAAGAATTCTAGGAGGCCCTCAGTCAGCTCATCTGTAAAATGGGTGGCACCACCGTAGGCTAAGTGGACAGGGAGGCTGACTGCCACCATCGGGTGCAGTGTAGGGCATCCCAAAGGATAAAGGCTTAGTGCTGCACCTGACCCTTGCCACATTCCATAGTGACCCAGGGCCGCGTGACGTCCTCTAATCGGAGCCCACAGCCCCACCGGCTTTACAGCTTACCAGGGCTTAGGCAGCCTGGCTCAATCCTCTCCAGCGCGCAGCAGGGGGGTGGTGTCCTCAATGTCTGCGGGAATCACCCAAGGTCACAGCCCTCGGCTGCCCAGGAATAGCATGCTCTGCCCATCGTAAGGATGTGGAAACTGAGACCAGAAAGGATGTCCAAGGCCAACAGGGGTGCAGCCAGGTCTAAGGTAATCTCCAACCATCCTACCAGTTCCTGGGATTGCAGTTTCTTGAGATGCCCCCAGTACATCCCTGCACGCACCACCCCTCAACTCGTGCCACCCCACACTGCAATGACTCCCTGCGATGACTCCCTGGTCGCCGGCAGGCGGGCAGGCGGTTGCTAAGCACTTACCCTGCTTGCTCTCACAAAAATAAACTCCTTCTGGCTATAGACGCTGGACCAGATCTCCTCCCTTCTAGCCAACAAAAAATGTTTTAATTCGAAAAAGATCTCCTCCGTGACATTTCTGTGCTCCTTGGCGGTGCCAACTCGGGGCGCTGTGCTCATGTACACATGGGGCCGCAGACCCCCGATCGCGGCCATCACGTCTCCCACCTCCCGGGCAGGGGCCGGCTAGTGGTGGCACTGGAGGCCGGGCAGGACTAAAATAGCCAGGCCCGACTGCCCACCACCCGGCGACAGTGCCCGGCACACCAGTGTCAGTACCCAGCACACGCCTGCGATGATCCCCGGGCCCAGCGTTGCCCGGGGGACACGAGAACGTCTGCCCCAGGATATGCAAGTACTGTCCTGAGAGCGTCCGGTCCCTGTCCCCTCACCTCGGTTGCCACCTCGACCACCTGTCCCCGAGGCAAGGACGCCTGTCACCCGCCCCGCACCGGACGGCGTCCGGGCACAGCGGCTCAGGGATACACGTGCACGCGGCAGGGACAGCGCCACGCGCTCGGGCTCGGGCTCTGCCACAAGGCGTCCGCCTAGGACGCGGGCGCGAGGCTGGGGACCCGGGCACCTTGAGACCAGGGCCCGACCACGTCGACCCCGCCCGCCGGACCAGGCCCACGCCGCGGCCATCGCGACCCCCGCACGCGAGGGGACCAGCCCGGGCATACCTGGACGTGCGTGTGCGGCTCCCTCAGGCCGGACTGCCCGCCAGCCAGAGCTCCGGGTGCGGGGCGCGGGCGGCGGGCGACTGCTGCGTCCCGGCCTCGCGCGGCTGTTGTCTGAGCAGGCGGCTCTGCAGCGCCCATCCTGCCGGGTGGAAAAATACCGGCGGGGCGGGGCAGTGGGGCGGGGCCCGGTGTGGAGGGCGGAGTCGGACCCGGGCAGGGGCGGGGCTGGCGGGGGAAGGGCGGGGCCAGGAGGGCGAGGGGCGAGAGCGGGCTGGGCCGGGGCGGAGCCAGAGCCCGAGACCCGCCTATGCGCCCGCACACGCGCGCGCACCCGGGCCCGGGAGCACAAAGGGCTGAGCTGGCTGTGGGACTTGCTCACTCGTGCAGGCGGTCGCGCGGGGCCTCACCGCACGGCCTGCCAACAACGGTCGTCGAATGCCGCCACTTCTCGCCAGGTCCTGGGGCGCTCCGAGAAGCCCCTGCGCCCTGGTCCCCCAAGCGGGGTCGGGACCAGGTGCAGGCAGGATGACGGAGGGCGTCCTAAGCCTCCGTCTCCCGCGCGCACTCCGGCGCGCAACAGAGACGCCGACCGTTATCCTGGGGACGCAAGTCCCGTGGTGCCCGGCCAGGGCCTCCCACGGGTGCGTGGGCGCCTCCTGCCCCACGCTGCACTTCTGCCCCTTTTCCCCCCAGAGAAGGCTTAGGTACCATGAGCACGTGGATGACTTTGCGTTGCAAACCGAAGCAGAAATGCCAAGGGCCCGCGAGGACCCAGGCACGGTTCCGGGGTGGTCCCGGCACCTCGACCTCCCCACCCAGCCCAGTGGGCGGTAAGGTGGGGCAGGGAGGCTGAAGAGGGAGCTGCTGAACAGACCCTATCCCTGAGAACGGGGCACAGCCTAACAGAGGAGGGTCAGCTCCAAAGACCCAACACCCAGGACTTGGGAAGCCAAGCTCTCCCTGGGTCTGGCATTTGGGCCCCTCCAGTGTGGGGGCTTCCTTAGGCTCCACAGGGCACGTGTACATCAGTCATTCGTTGTGCTATTTGTTGGTTTTTGGTTTCTTTGAGACATTGTCTGGCTATGTAGTCCAGGCCGGCCTCAAACTCTCAGGGATCCTCAAGGATCCTGTTTCAGCCTTCTGAGTACTGAGAGCATAGGTATGCACCACCATGCCCGTTTCCACTTAACTGTTTTGAGACTGGTTCAGCCATGCTGCCCAGGCTCTGGGTTCAAAGATCCACCTGTCCCAGCCTCAGCCACCTTTCTGTAGCTGTCAGCTGTGTATCAGTCCCCATGCAGTACCTGTGAATGTCCACACTGCATCCTCAAAACATTGCCTTAGACCAACAATAATGTTATCCTATTTTACAGGACAGAAAATTCGACTGCAGATATTCAGCCACCCAGGGACCCAAGTCTGTTGGATAATCCAGCTAGAATTTCCACCCCAGGCCTGGATGTAACTGGTAGGTACTTAACCCATGGGCCCTCAATTCCACTTGCTTCAACGCATAGCAGAAAACAGCCTTAGAAGCTGGGTGTGCTATGCACAGCTATAATCCCAGCACTCTAGTGGACTGAGGTAGGAGGATCTCAAGCTCAAGCCCAATTTAGGCAATTTATTGATTTAAGGAGACACTACCTCAAAAAATAATATAGGCTGGGGATGCAGCTCAATGTGAAGGCCCTGGGTTCGATCCCCAGTATAATGCAGCAGGCCACATGCACAAGCACAGTGTCCCAGAAAGAGAAGAGGAAGAGCTAGAAAGTACTCCTGCCTCTGCTGCAGGGAATGCTGGGAAGGAGCTAGTCCCACAGCACAGCCATGAGGGTGGGCTTTGCCAAAGCTAAGGGACACACAGGCCTTGTGCCAACTCTGAGCCCTGTTCCTCAGCCCTAACTCAAATAGTTAAGCCCAGCCTCCTCACTGAGCTCTATGAGGAGAGGGCTCCCTGCCCCAGCAGAGGTAGAGGCAGGAGGGTCCTGTGAGCCCCAGAGCATGAGGCTACCCTGCATCTGTCTCCAGTTCCTGGCACCCAAGGGCATGTCCCTGCACATGGAAGCCACAACTACCTGGCTGGCTCCCCTGTGCTACCTGCTGGCCCTGGGCCTGGCAGGCAGAGCCTGTGTACCAGTGAGCTCTTAGCAGGAGAAGAAGCCTTTGAGGAGACAGCAACCTCTGACTGCCACCTCTACTTCCAGGCATGGCTCACACTGTGCCCCCACATGCACCCCCTGTTCACTGCCCTGTGCCCTCCTGCAGCCTGCTGCCTGGCCCAGGCAGTGCCCAGTGGGACCTGGAGCTCAGGAGACATTAGAAGCTACCATAAGTATGGCCAGTGAGGAGGAGGACTCACTTTCTTCTTCCCTTGGTGGGAACATGTGAAAGCCACAGAATCAGATCTGAAAGGGATAGAGACTGAGTACAGTTCATCAGCTACTGCTACAAACTCTCTCCAGGGACACCCTAGGCCACTGCAGCCCCTTCGCTAGAACCACTTTCTCTGGAGCTGCTTTCTCTGGAGCAGCTCACCTGTGAGCCAGCAACCTTAAGTCTAGAGCAGCACCCATCCAGCAAGTACCAGATGGGAACAGTGGCACTGATTTAGGGACCAGGGCTGATGGGAAGAGTTGGAGTGACTCATAGTAGTCCCTGAAGAAGAGATGTATATTTTGTTGTTTGTTTTGAGGCAGTGTATGTAGCTCAGGCTGGCCTCAAACTTATCGTGACTCTTCTGCCTCAGCCTCCTCCCAAGTGCTAGGGTTACCAGTGCATACCACCATGCCTGGCAAGGGGTACTTTTTGACTCAGTGCTCTGTCCTAGGCCTCAGGGCCTGGTAGGCTATGTGGGGAAGGGTCTGTGCTAACCACTGCCCACATCTTCTCCAAACATTTCATTGCCTAGACAGCAGCACCTCCAAACTGATGCACCTTCTACAAGTCAACCACAGGCTATGAGTTCCAGGATGATACAGGTACCATCTGCCATGAACTAAAGGCAGGAGACACAGGGCATGCAGAGGTGGCCAGGTCTCTGGCATCCAAAGATCCTTTAGTCAAGTGTGCAGCCATGCCTGAAATCTCTGTAGTCTGGGAGACTGAGGCAGGAAGATCATAAGTTGAAGTCCAGCTGGACAATTTAGTGATTTAGTGAGACACTGCTCCAAGATAAGAAAAAAGGGGCTGGGAACATATGTTGATGCAAAGGCCTTGACTTCAACCTGCAGTAATACCAAAAAAACCAAATAAATAAATAGAAAAGAAAATGTCAGGTGAAGAAAAAGAACGATGCCCGCACTAAACTCTAAACTCACACAGATCTTGCTTCATCCCTTCGACAGTGTGGGGTGGCAATTGTCTCCATGGCACTGAGGTATTGGGTGCCACCTCCAGTGCCTCACTGCCTCGTGCCCAGCCCAGTGACCCATCTTGGAGGCACCTGCACCATTTCTGTGTCTATTCCCACCTGACTCAGAGTGGAAGGTGCCAAGTCCCCAATGTCGGTTGCATTGTAGAACCTGGCAGCCAGGCCAGGCAGTGGCCAGTCAGTGACCTCCCCCAATCTGGTCCTCCCATGGCACTTGTTCCCATGTGGGCAATTTCCTCTCTTCCTTGGGAAGCCTGAGTAGACTCATAGTATTTCCAGCCCTGGAGGCCACCTCCTCACCCTACCTCAGTTTCCTGTCTGTGCCAACAGTGGCTTAGTCAAGGCTTAGACTCAGTGTGGCCTCCTCTACCAGGAGAGCCCACAGTCATGTCAATGTGCAAATGCCTCCAGTCAGGTCTGGGGTCCATGGCTCTGGGTACCGATTCATCCCCTACAGCTGAGAGGCCCCTGCCAGCTACAGAGCTTGTGAGGAGCAGCACCTTGCAATCCACTGCAGATCCTCAAAGGTTCTCAAGAACCCCAGCTACAAGAGGCTACAAAAGCCCTTGCTCATGGGAAACAACACCCCCAGGACACAACTGGGCTATACCTCAGTGGTGAGAACTTGCCTGGCATGCATGAAGCTCTGGGCTCCATCCCCAGCACCAGAAAACAGAATCCTCATGTTCCTGTCTCCCCTCACAAATTCTGACTTAATTGGGCACAAAGCCCTCTCTTTTCTCCTGTTAAAGAAGGCTCTGTACACCAGGCCTGGCAGCACATGTTTATAATCCCAGCACCCAGGAGACGGAGGCAGGACCAAGTCAAGACCAAGACCAGTCAAGTTCAAGACCAGCCTGGGCTATAGAGTGAGTTCAAGGCCAGCCTGGACTATGTGATGAGACCCTGTCTCAAAACTCAAACCCAAATAAATAAATAAATAAATAAATAAATAAGGTTGTCCCAGTAGTGGATATCACCCAGAAGGTATGGCTAGAGTGCCAGGTGCCCAAGTGATCACAGCTTCCCAGACATCCCCAGGCGGCCAATTTCCCCTACATTCTTGCCTGGGCTTCTCCATGGCCACCTTCTTATATTTGGTTATCCCCCCCCACCACCACCACCAAACACAACAATTCAAACTATTCCCAGCCTGCAGACAATAAACAAAGCCAGGAGGCGGCGCCGCAGGGTTTGTTCTCACTTATGGCCTGATCCAAAGTCACCCCGATTGGGCCCCCACAAGTCGTCTGAGCCTGGTGGGTGGCCTGGCTTCAGCCCCAGAGTGTCTGAGTCCCTCATCTTAAATGACCCAGGTACCCCCCAAGGCCACATCCCCAGTAGTCAGAGGCTCGTGAGAACAAGTGACTTATGTCCGGACACAGCACAGCTGAGCCAACCCCTCCTTCCTCACCCCTGTCAGTTTCCAGCTGCAGGCAGCTGTAGGGTTCTGCACAGGGTTGGGTCAGGCCACAGGCTCTGCAAGGGTCATCCTGAGCTGAGCCCCAGTGGACCCATCTTTAAATAAGGCCAGCAGTGGGGTCCAGCATCACTGAGTGGAAGAGTAAGCCCAGGCCAGAGAGAGTGGCAGTCATGACTGTGTGTCACCAAGAACAGACCATGGAGCAAGGAAGACAGGCACGGGGATGGGGAAGAAGACAGGAAAGGAAGAATCAAACCAGATATGTTGGTGAACACCTGTAATTCAGCTCTCAGCAGGCTGAGGCAGGAGAATTGCCCGAGTTTGAGGTCAGCCTGGGCTACAGAACAAGACTATTTCAACAAGAAACAGAAAAAGAGTTCTGTGCTGGTAAGCAGGGTAAGTGGTGGCCGCTGGGCCCATGTGAGCTTGACCCTGACCAGAGGTGTCACTGTCCATCCTCCTTTGCCTCTTATTGACACCCATGCTGCTCTCTGGGACCGCACAAAGGAGGGAGTATCAACAATGGGCACCTCTGCATAGCTGGAGCTACAGAAGAGTATGGGGATGGGGTTGGAGGGACCCTGACATTCTCCACTCACGGCTCTGTGGCCATCACTGAGGCAGGAGCACAGCCACCATCATCACCACCAGGGCTCACCTGGCCTTCAGAGCTTATAGCCAGCTGTGTACCTCTGGAAAAGCCCGGGCTCTCTCCTGGACTTCACCCACATGTGACTTCCTGCACAGTACATGGTATATCTGCCACATTGAACCTCAGCCCCAGACCTTTTGGGCCTCAGTTTCCTGATCAAAACAGAAAGGCAAGCAGAGAAGGGGCTTCATCAGAGCCCAGGAGCCAGGGTGTCCCCGAGTGTGACATTACAGGTATTGAGGAACTAACTACTCAGCCAAGCATGCCGATAGCCCCTGTCTGGGAGACTGAGGCAGGAGGATCACAAGTTCCATCCCCACCTGGGCAACTTAGTGAGAAGCTTTCTCAAAATAAAAAACAAAAATAGCTGGAGTGAACCTTACGCTACATGTGCAGGACTCTGAATTTACTCCCCAGTACAACAACAGCAACCAAAAAAGAGGGGAGCGCTAGAGTGTCCAGACTTCCTTCTACCTTCTGCCCTGGCTTCTGGGGTTTCCAGTGCTGCTTGTCTTGCAGCATCTCTGCATGACATTCTCCGGAGTCCCTGTGGTCGCCTTGCTGTCTTGGTATTTGTCTCAGGTCCCAATTCTCCTCCTCTTGGGAAGACACTGGTCCTGCTGGCTTGGGGCCCCTGTGATGTCACCTTGGCAGGTGACCTCTGCAAAGACCCCATTTCCAGGTGAGATCGCAGCCTCAGGAGCCCAGTGTGAGGTCCACACGTGTCTGTGGCAGGACAGGGACAGTGACTCAGGCCAGGTGGGTTGTAGCCCTGGAAAGTCACCCAGAGGACAGTGGATGAGCAGGTGAGGAGGCTTCACTGAGGCTGACCCTGGGCGAGCAGCTGGAAACCAGGATCAGCAGATCACCTGGACCATCTGTCACCTCTGGGGGAGGGGTGCAGGTAGAGGGAAGGTCTGCACCACTCTAGCACGTGCCCTCCCCTGCAAGGACAAGGGAACTGAGGGACCCACTGACCCCTCTCTCCTGCTTGCAAGTTTCTCCCTCTCTCTTGTGCTAGAGACAGGGCCAGAACCTCACCTGTGCTAGTTGACCAGCCTTCCATTGAATTACACTTGCAGCCTTTTCAATGCAAACATTAAAACCATCAGGTTATCAGATCCATGCCATGCCCGGCACACCTTCCATCTCCCCTGCATGTGCCCTTCCTGGGGAAGGAAGTGTCTGTTCGCTCAGATTCTCCCAGAAGGGACCCTGACAAAGCTTCTTCCCCTGGGCTTTGCTCCTGCCTCTCTGGGGACCAGGGTTCCTCTAACTCTAACCATGTAGGGTTTAACCATGCAGTTCCCTCTGCTGAATGCTCCTCCTCTCCTCTTCCTGCCTCCTCTTCCTCACCCCTCCTTTTTTTCCTCCTCCTCTTCCTCTTCTCCTTCCTTGGTGCTAATAGGGATTGAAAGCCAGGACCTTGGCACTGAGCTACATCCCAGCTCCCCCACCATATTTGTAGAGACAGTGTCTTGTTGAGTTGCTGGGGCTGGGCTCAAACTTGCCATTCTCCTGCCCCAACCTCTCGGAGTGCTGGGATTACAATGGTGAGCCATTTCTTCCTGGTGGAATGGACTGACTTCAGGGCTGTCCTGGAATTCACAGCTTTGAAGGAGTCCTCTCTTTGCCTCAATTTTCTGCTCCTAGGAGACCTTCACCTACCTTCCTTCCTTCCTTCTTTCCTTCCTTTCTTTCTTCCTTTCTTCCTTTCTTCTTGGCCGCCCAGCTGTGCTGGCTGCTCCAGGCTGCAGGCCTGCGGCTCCCTGGGCATCCTCTACAGAGCCTTCCATGGCTGCTTATTGTCCTCTGAATGCTCACTGACCTCAGCTCAGCCCTTGCAGCCCCACACCCACCTTCCATAGTCCCCAGCCTCCCTGTTCACTTGCTCTGGGACCAGGGCCCCTCCCACCAGGGCTCTGAGCTCTTTCAGCCTCCCACCTCTGTCTTCTCAACCCCTCCTGGGGTGAGGAGGTAGGGACAGGACTGGGCCCCCTTGTGCCCCAACATCAGGCTCAAGGGAAAGGAGCAGGGATGATGCACATGGAGGAAGCCAGTGTTCCTGGGAGGTACATGGGCCTGGAAGGCTGGGTCCTCTGTCCTCTGTCCCACACCCGGACAGCTTATAGTGGTTGCCTTTGCCTGTCTCTTACTTTGGGGGAGAGCCGCCCACCTTAGTCTCCCGGATGCCTATGCGATGACACCAAGTGCATGGGAGTATGAGGCATTTTTTGGAATCTAAACTGTATCTACTTCCAGCTGCTTCTCAGATGCTGACTGTAGCCAAGACAATGGAGCACCTGGGATCCTGCACCAGCCACTGCTCCATAGTCAAGGAAACTGAGGCTCAGGAGGGAGGGGCTTGCCTGAGACTACATCCAGGAAATAGGGGACAAAGTCTGATCTGCTGAGCTGGCCTAGGGTGACAAGAGACTTCACACCACCCTAGGTAGCAGTTCCAACTGTCCCCTTCCTAGGTGACCCCATGGCCCTATACCCTAGTGGTTTGTGGAACCTGAACTGTTTCTCACTATGCTGGTCCTTACTGGGTACCCTGCCCTGCCTGACAGATAGTTGCACCAGAGATGCTGCAAGGTGCTGCCTATGAGGGACTGTGGAGGCCAGGAGACCAGAGTGGCCAACGTGGCACAACTTTTGTGACAGGATGTGGTCCCACTGGTTTCATTCTGTCATTGCTGCTATCATTAGCATCCCTGTGCTTCCTGTGCATGCAGGAAACACAAGGTTAGGTTCAGAACTCTCCAAGGTGCCTGGTGTCCTCTGGGGTCTTTAGATGGGGGGATGCCCAGGTGACATAGTCACTGATTCCTACCTCCCAGGCCAAAGGTGCCGAGATCAAGGGGCTTTGCTCTACCCACTGCCCACCTGGCAGTGGTAAGGGGGAGAGGCCTGGGAAGCGAAGTTTGGCTCAGGGTCCAGAGATTTGTTCTAATATGGGGAAGTCCTTGTTACCCCGCTGTCACCAAGAACTCGTTGGAGGCCTGGAGAGAAGCCTGCGTCTGGGAAAGATCACTTCGCCTCAGCGAGCTGTGCGCCCAAACTGCACAGCAGTGGGCACTGCTCTGTCCTGGCAATGTGGGGGACACTGCAACTCAGAGCTGGAAGTGTTGGCGAGGTCCAGCCTTCTGACTCTTTGTCCATGGGGAAGAGAAGGGGACACTTGCATCTATCAGGATCCAGTGCCTGGTTAGAGGGCTGGAGTCAGCTGGGAGGGATTGGCACATACCGCACTGGAGGCCCAGGCCTGCATGGCTCTATACACTGACTCCGTGACACTCTGTCCCCCTCCATGCTTCACAGTGAGGAAACAGAGGCTCTACAAGGTGCAGCCTTTGCTCCAGTGCACTTGATGCCCGGGAGAATTCTCCCTCCAACCCCCCTCAAAACTGTGCTGTCATTAGCCACCTCCTGGTCACTTCCCCCGACCTGGACCCTGGACCTTGGACAGGACGTACAGGCGACTGCACTGTGGGAGGCGCCCTGGGGAGTCCTGAGGCTCAGGCCCCTCCTGCGACGTTTTCTCCTTTCACCCATTGTGCATCTGCAGTTAATGGACACCAGGCTCCTGTGGGATTCTCAGCCTTTGTGTTCTGGCTGTCTCACTTGTGCCGGGAATATGGGAGCCCAGGGCCCTGGATGGTCATGCCTGATCTCCATTTCTTTATCTGTGCCTTGGGGTTGACCATCATGGCAGCAAAGATAAAGACAGGAGCATCTTCCAGAGCACAGGAGATGGCATGGTCCCTGGAGCTTCTTCCTGGATTCATTCATTCCTTCATTTGTCAAGCATAGCTGCTGTGGTGAAATGTGGCCCCAGGACCTCAAGATTAGGCTTGGTGGCTTCCATCCCTAGGGGACCTGACTGTGGGGCTGGGGCTGCCAGCCCCCACCTCAGGGAGACTCATGGAGCCCAGGTCCCTGGCTGCGTGAGGAATCAGTGTCCTCTCTGACCTGGTAAAGCTTCTGAGACCCCAAGCAGAGGGCTCCAAGAGCTCTGGGGTACCAAGGGGGCCCTGCAATGGGTCCCTGACAGCTCATCACCCCAGGTTGGCCTGATGCTCCCCTGCTCTAAGCCTTGG